CTTTCCTGTTTTCTGCATCTGGCGGGCCATCACTAACAGACTTTCCTGCCCTTCAGCATTTGGCGCACCCGCCAAAGTTGAACAGAAACAGCGAACTTCATTGGCCAGACAAGGACCCATGGTGACCACCTTTTGGACAATGGCCCATTAGGAACAAGCAGCACCCACCCTGAGTGTGACTCCCTGGGCCTCTGACCAGGCGGAGGCCGCTGAGGGACCTCACCTGAGAGCACAGAATAAATTATGCTGGTTTTATTAAACCCCAAGGCCTGACTCTGGTATTTTCACCTTTGCCGCCCTTACTTTGCCACCACTCCCAAATCAAACCTAACACTTCTCAAGTCCCTTTGTGTTTATACAAAGCTTTCTGATCATCGGAGCAGATGTTCAGCTATTAAATACAATCACATTCAACCACTAAAGCACGTTTCTCTTGAATTAAAAGCAAGGAAAATGCTCACAATATATTTTAGTGTAGTACAAAACAGTTTATGGTAAATGTCTGCAATTATTTGAAAATATAGGCTTATGTATATGCATAGAAAAAGTCTTTTCCAGGGAACCAGCAGTTAGCGTAATGGCTATGTCACTGGATTCCCACATAGTCGACCGCAGTTTGTGTCCCGGACCCGGTGGCTTAAAACTCACACGGGGCGCGTGTGCGTGCATGCCCAAGATCCCAAGATGAGAATGGAGGAGAAGGGATTGCGGCCTGACCATCCCCTCTGGGGGGGTGATTTCTCGCTTTCTGTCTCTATGTCTCTCTCTGTCTGTCTGGTGAGCACACGCGCCCTGTAGCGAAAACCTCTCCAAAAAAAAAAAGGCTTTTCCAGGAGTTATCTGCAGGTGGAGATATTAGGAATATTAGTCTATTTTAAATTTCTTTTTATGATTTTTTTTCCCCACTTGTCATTTATCAGTCAAAACCAGAAACAGGCTGGCTTTGGTGGTACAGAAGAACACTCTGCTCAAGTGATGCTGGAGCCACATAAAAGATCACAGGTTCAGTTCCCAAGTTGACCTGCATACACAGGGCACATGCTCCGTGATACTGGCTGGTCTCAAAAAGATATGGCAAGAGATCCTATTAAGGGCATTTGTTTTCTTCTCATTTCTCTCATTCTCTCTCTCTCTCTCTCTCTCTTTCTCTCTCTCTCTCTCATAAAAAATAAAATAAAATAAAATAAATTTTTAAAAATTTAAAAAACACTTTAAAAAGGGGACTAGGAGATGACATGGTAGTTAAGGTACTGGACTCTTACATGGCCAACTGAACTTTGAATCCCAAACACAGTGGCTTGAAAATCACATATGGCACGTGTGTGTGAGTGTCCTAAATCCCAAGAGTAGATTGGAGGAAAAGGGATTATAATGTGGCCATCACCCCTGAAGGGTGAGTGGTCACTTTCCTTCTCTCTCTCTCTCTCTGTCTCTCTTTCTCTTTTCAGCAAGCACAAATGCCCTATGGCAAAAAAAAAAAAAAAAACAACCTAAAAAACAAAACAAAACAGGCACAAGCAGGTGGCATGGTGGTTAAGGCGCTGGATTCCTACATGGTCAACCATGGTCTAAGTCCCAGACTTGGAGGCTTGCTTTCTCACTCCCTGCAACCCCTCTCTGTCTCTCTTCAGTGAGTACACATGCCCTATAGCAAATTTTAAAATTAAATAATTCTTAAGACAAACAAACAAAATTCCAGAAGCAATCAACATCCCTCATGAACTCTACATCCAGGGACTTCTGGTCTTCATTTATGTTACCAGCAATGGCCACCTGAGGACACTTCGGATCCTGGTTAGCCTGATTCAGACATCATTTGGGGGAAAAAAAAGTGTCTGTTCCCAGCTTCCTCAGAGGGCCAACTTCCACTGGCTTCATGTCCCCCGCTGAGCACATACAGTGAGAACTAATCAGAGCCTTTCTGTAAAACGTGAGATTTGTCAAATATATGAAAACTAAGCAGTAAAATTTGACACACGAGCTAAATATAGGTGGAGCTAACATCCAGTTTTAAATAACTTTGGTCCCTCCGATGGGGTACAGCACATGATTAACACAGAACTTGCCCTATGGCTGCTGTTATTCCTGCATTTTTCAAATGCTTTTCCTTGGACCTTTTCAAAATAAACCGTGCAATTGGGCTTTTTGTGCTTATATGGCAAGGTTGCTCCCTCTGATACCGTCACAGGGCTGAAGCATAAAATCTAGTTAAGAGCTCTTGCCAAAACATGAATCAGTTGCAGCATAATATTCTGAACTCTGTTCTTTTTTTTTTTCCATTCTCTAATATTTCTTCACATCACAGCCCAAACAATTGCTCATAATTAAACTGAGTGGAGGAGCAGGCCCTGGCAGGAAATGTACTTGGCAAGAAACCAGCAGCTCTTCATTGTCTTCCACAGAACAATTACATCAGTTCCTTCCATTTCCAGAGAAAGAACGAACGGACGGGTTTTGCAGAGTAGCAGATGAAAATAAGAGGAAGAAGCCAGTTTATTTACATATTCCTAATCAGGTTAATAGATAACCTTTTCATGGGAAAAGGAAATACCCTGGAGAATTGGAGGATCATTTGAAAAACCTGCTTTCACTTCCTCTGGGATCTACACCACCTGCTGACCACAACTTCAACTCACCAGTTACTTGTGTCTGCTGAAAAACCTCCAGCTTCAAAGAGAAATCTAGCCAATAAGTGTGATCTGTTCCAGAGACTGAAAGATTCAAGAGAAGTTAAATGCCATCCATGATGCTGTTTGAAAAATTTTAAATGTATCATCAGTCATTTGCTATTTACTCAATAGATTCACTGCAAATCCTAATGCAGAAAGAGGATTTAGAGTCTAAATTCGTATACTGAGACGGGGTAAGATAAGAGCTGTCTTATGAGTAGTTTGGCCTTGGCTCATCTGAGCAACCAAGGATTAGAGCCAAATCTGTCCCATCCTGACGACTGATGCTTTATTAGCTTAGGGCGTGTGGGAGAGTCAGGTGCCCAATCCCACTCTGAGACTATCATGGTGAAGACGAGCCAGCCTCCATCCTGGCTCCACCCCACCCCCTTTCACCCTGGGTGCCCCAGACATTTCCTCTTCTTCCCATATACCAGCTCTGAGGAGCATCGCACCACCATTCCCTAGAAAAGGACAGTTTGGATAGTAGGGCCCATTTTTAGAAACCCAAGTACCAGAGACAGGCGGGAGATGCAGTTCAGCCTCCAGTGACATCAGATGAGAGGACCTCTCCCTCCACAGGAGAGTCTCAGACATTCAGAAGGAATGAGTACCTCTTTGGATGCTCAGAAAAGATTAGAATTCCCATCCACTTGTTGCTTGAATTACTTGTGCTCTCCTGTCGTCCTCCTGGGCCTAAAGACCTTAGCTCCCTGGGCTGTCAGAGCAGGAGAAATCGACAAGCAGAATGGAGCACCGGCTGCTTCCTGAATATATCGATACCTGGATCTCTGCTCCCCTTGTGACTGAGTGAGCCTGGGGTACAGGGAAGCCAGAGGTGCGTGGGCGAAGGAGGAACAAGCTAAGTCCTGTTCTGCCCGGGACAACAAGGGCACAGCTCCAAGATGTTCATTGCTCCAGAGCACACGTTCTTGGGGTGTGTCCTACACCAGGAAAAAAAACTCCTTGAGGCCAGAGATACCACTCCTAGAGGGGGAGAATTCAACCTCAATATGTAGAGGTCCTGGGAGAAATCCACAAATGTTAGAGACAACGTGGACACCCTGACCCTGCGATTGGACAAAGCACGACTCCTGATCTGTTTGGCTAAGAATAATAGCCTTTGACATACAGGACACAGGAGCAAAATGAGAGGAAATCTGGGGAATTTAATCTGCGAGATGGTTTACACAGAGGTTGGCCAACCAGTAAGGTTGGCTGACAGGCATGGTGGTTCTCTCCCTCCTCACCCAGGCTTGTCCATGTGCCAATGCTTCGAGAGTCTTCAGAAAGTACTGGCAGGGAGTACTCCATCAAAATGCCCCAATAAAGAAACAAGAATATGCTTTCAACACTAGTAATGAAAGCAGCACCATAAAAGGCAGGAGTCTCTTGTTTACAAGTGACAGACACTTAGCTCAAAGGGACTTTGTAACTTAAGCCAAAAGGGGAATTTATCAGCTTACATAAATAAGCCGGTATTAAAAAAAATCCTCTGTCACATCTAGAATCTGAGGCTTCAGTAACATCATATGGGCTTTGTCTGACTCTCCTCTTAGCTTTTCTTGCTTCTCCATATTGGTTGGCTCTGCATACCAGCTCTCCCATGAATAAGAAAGGGGCTGTTAGAAGGATATTGGTCATTCTTTTGCCTGTAGCATCTGGAAGCACTCTTCATGGTTAGGGAATTTCCCACCTCTTAAGTCTTGGGGAGGCACATGACCTCCCAGTTCAGATGCTGAAAATGTCAGATGGCTGATTTTCCAAACTCCTTTTCGACTTGGACTCAGCCATGTAACCCAGACTACCCCAACAGAATTCTTAAACTTGGAACAAGAAGCAAAAAAGAAAAAGAAAGCAGCAAATCTGAAGCCTTCTCCATGGTGAGCAGACATTCCTGGAGCAGCAGCAGGAGCAAAAACAGTATCCGGAGCTCACAGCTCTGTAGGTTAAAGAGCGCAGTGGCTAGGATGCCCACGTGATCGTTGCACCTGTCCTCAAGTGGAATTTGGAGTCATTGTTTCCAGGTATTTAACCTGACTCTCTGGCCATCTCAGAGATTCCATGTGCTATTCAGTAACTTTTTTTTTTTTTGAACTATAAAAGGATTTTATTTATCCAGAGCAAAAGGATGAAAACAATATAAAAATCAAAAGTTTATCTCGCATTGTGTTAACTTGTCTCTGTCAAATGGGAGTCTGATTTTCTTTGTATATTTTGTCAGGGTCCTGGTCTGCTCATGAAATCCTTATACAGGAGGAACTGCGAGGTGGCTTCCTGTGACACTGTGGGAGAAGTCTTAGCAGGTTAGGAGTAGCTGGTGGGTTCTGCCTACTTCTTTCCCTTCTGCTTCATGTGTGCTACAAAATAGGCATTGTGCACAATGGTGAGGCTCACCGTTAGTGAAACGAAGCTCTGGAAGCCCACTTTGCTATCTCGGCAGTTGTCCAGGTCCTTCATTATTTTGTCCACAGCCATGGGTCCCCCCTTTTTTCTTTCCTTTCTTTTTTTAAAATCTTTTTATACATTCAATCGCTACACATCATGTAGCTTGTAAAGAGAATTTACCCAACATGAAATACAGCTCAGACCAGTCCAGTTGAGAATACTGTAATATTATCCTCAACAGTTAATAAATGATTTCTGTGTCCCCACAAATGCCCTTCCTATCTAT